GGAAAGAACATTCTCCTCTCCAAACAGGGGGTCCACGTCCATATTTGCTTCAGGGAGAGTGTTTCCATGGACATTGGGACCTTCCAAGTTTGTCCCTCTCCAATTGACATAGGACGCCTTTCAAGTCGGACCTGAAACATTTCCGTCATACAAACTTCGAGAGTCAATCCTCTTTCAAGTTCTTGATGCTTTCGGACCTAGTGGGAGTGGGGTCCTACTGGCATCAGCATCGGTCTGATTTCTCACACTGGGTGCTGGCTTCTGAACAAGACATGCCACTACAAACATCAACACTACAAACATCAGCACAGAATCAGCGATCATGTAGCGTGTCCTCATTGACTCGTGCAGTTTACTATATACCATAGGCCGAGCACTGGAGTGCTTCTCTCTTTCTCGCCGTCGCGAGAAAGAGACCGCAGCCAGGGCTGCGTAGCATGAGCGTGATGCTTTGGTTTGCTGACTGGGACCGGACATGCTTTAGTTTGCATACCAGGACCATCGTTACCGTAAGGGTCATCATGAGGAATATCGTGCCAGGTATATATCCAATGTCGCTATCGGATCGCATCGTCCAGCGATGCATACTCTGGGCTCTTCTGCTGCGACGTGATTGCAACACGTTCCCTGTGGGCCTCCGAGGTCATTAACTGTTGCAAGAAATGGGCATCCTGGTCCTATACTCTTACACTGAAGATATCGATGCAATTGTCTTTCCAATCTACTATTGCGGGAAATAAATGGATCAATTTCCAGAGTGTAATTATATACAATGCGATGTGTGATCAAATCAGTTTCATGGCTTCTTCTTTGCTCTCCAACTTGCTTAAGGTAGCCAGTGAACAACTTCTTCAATAAGTAAACTCCAGTTGTGTTCCTTCTTCTTCTCCACTACATGTTTGCACCGCTGATTTGGTATCAACAACAAGGGCTTAAGGCCAAAAGTTGCACAAGCCACCCAAAAGACCCCATTTTCGCACCTTCCGTGCGCGGGCATCTGAGTTGCTGCCCTTGAAGCTGGTGACCTTGGAGGTGTAACGGCTAGAGCTTCGACCTGGTTTTGGCAGCTTCAACCAGGTCTAAACCCCTGCTGATGGGAATGGATGTGCTCGAGTTCCGCCGACTTCCGCCGGCTTGATTTGCAGGAAGCCCTTCTTATGGTACCAACTGCAGTGCTGGAGGGTCACCTTATCCAACAAAACACCTAGCCTATCCCCCCGTTCCCCCCCTTGCCCACCAACCAGAAAGTTCCCTCATGTCCCTCCTATCTTGCCAATTGCCGGGTCATGTGATGCCCACCCCAGGGAATCAACAAAGCTGGCGACCCCTGTCCAATGTGCTTCGCCAAGTCGCGGTGAAAACGATCTGCCCCGCCTCCTTGACCCAAGTCCCAGCCCCCTCGGCCACGGAGCTGCCGCGAGCGTGGCCAACGTCGAAGCCAGAGCGCTCCTCACTGGTCCATGTCCCATCATCCTTCAACCTGACGAAGAAAAGGAAAGCAAGACCTGCAAGACCTGCTGCAAGACCTGCCAGCCTCTAGAAGACTCAAAAGATTTCATCTGGCATCTAACCAATGTAGACTGCAGGAAGGCAACCCCCTCTCAATGAACTGCCGGCTGCGGTTGGGACCAGAAATTGGTCTCAACACAGGCGGCAACAAGACTTTCAGTGGTGAGTTTTTGACCCCTGAACAAGGGCGAACTTGGAATGAACACAGTGGCTTCTTCATCACCTTTCGGGAGGACTGCGCCGTTGGAGCTCCCACGCGTATCCAACCCATAGAGGAAAATTGTCATCCGATCCATATCCATGATGATTTCAGGGAGTGTATAGTGTATAGTGTATATATATATATATTATAGTCTAATTGAACCCGTTGAGACCATCTTTGCTTGGCAAAACACCAGAGGTATCAAGTCTGTATTCCAAACCTATGGGACTGAAGCAGATCCACTCATGGGCGATGAGCTGCCCATGTCACATCGCTTTCACATTGTTTAGGTCCCATGGAAAAAGCAACTTTCCAGGTCGTGACACTAGCACTCTGTTCCTTTAGGAACTTGTTCTTTATTGTTGCATATATATATACTATATACAGTGGATGTCGTGTTCCCATCGCTGTCAGGTCAAAGGCGGCTGTTGCTCCAGTCCTCTTGACGCTCCCAAGGATCCGTAGTCAGTGACATTGAGAACAAACGCCTTGAGAAAAATAAAAAACAAATATGTGTATGTATATAGATATACATGTGTGTATAGTGGCCCAAGAAAAGTGTTGTTTCACCCGGCCAAGCAGCTCAAAGGTGACTTTGCACCATTTACCTCCATCGCCTCAGTTTTGCAGAATCGTTTTTGACTTAAAGCAAGTGAGCAACAAGATCACATGCGATAGCGGATAGTGCACCAGGACCTCGTGGGAATACACAGCTGGTTGTGACACTAAACAGCTCACCCGCACGAGAACGGGTTAGAGAGATTGCACGCCTGAAGCCATCACCGACCTGGACCCCCTGGCCAGCCCAAATAGAAGAGGGCCACCAGCATCATTCTGTCGGGTAGATTGCTGATTCATAACCATATGGAGATGTAAATCCATTCAGATAGGGAGCTTTATCAATCAACAGTCTACATTACTACCCACTCACAACTTCACGAGTGCTCAAAAAGGAATCATCACAAAGACGGCGCCACCATGGCGGGCACGGGAAATGGATTCACCAAGGGGCCGGAGTTGGCTTCGAACTTCATGCGCCCGGAGTGCCGGAGTCCAACGCCCCCAGCCCGGCCGGGTCGTCACAGCTGAGGCCGAAGAGAGGGGCGCCGGAAAGCTGTGTCTCGAGCCCCTTGCACCTTGAGTGACCTGGACTAGTCATCAGTAGTCATCCTTTCTTTGGGGGGAATGGTGTGGAACAGCTCATGTCTACTCTCATGTCTCATGTCCATTGATGTTAATAAGACTATTCCTACTGGCTTTGCATCCTCCAACCTTCAACGCTTGTGGCTTGTGCCAATGTATAGCTGAAACGGTTGCTTCCACACCAAACCCCACTCGACTAACTCACTCCCTGCACCCTCAAGCCTTGAGAGCCTTCTTGAATGACCTGCAGCAAAGCCGTAAGAAGGCTCCAGGTCTGGTCATGGCCAAGCGCTTTGGTGAGATGTTGACGGCACAAACGGCACATTCTGGCCCAAGGGGCTGGTTCACTTCCTCAAATGGGGTCCATGTCTGGCAAATTGTGACTCAAACGATGGGCAGGAAAGGACGCGGAAGTAGATGTGCCAGGAGATTGTTTGGTGGGGTGCAGCGTGAGGCCTGTGTGCTGCATTTATAATTAATAAAGCGGATGCTTTCTGTGGGACCTGGGTGTGCAAAAAAATGTGATCAAATGAGCTGCCCAAAATTGCGTGTTCCGCTTTGGCGGCTTATGATTCTCATTCATTTTCACATCTTTCGAATGACACCTCGCCCTCGAGCTTCCCAAAAGCATTCTCTCAACAACAACAGTTCACCTTCCACCCGACGCACGAGCTCAAGGAGACCCCAAACCGCGGAGACCGTGCCGAGTCTTCGAGCGGAAAGGCCACCCACGTCGATGCCAATGCGTCGATGAGTGGCGTGGACGACGAAGCGAGGATGACAATGGCGCCCCGGTTCGCCTGTAGCCCGTAGCCGGGCAAACTTGCGCCTGCTTGGCGGAGAAGCTGCTTGAAGCAACTGAAATAATAACTGATATGACAACTTATCTAAACAAATGCCCCCGCCCCTATCCATGTGGAATTGGTTTGGGCTGGGATTCTCATACACCTTGTCCTTGCCTTTGTGATCTCTGTGGTTCCCTCTCATATCGTGATACCCATCAACGGCCGACTCAAATCCCAATTGCTGGTGAACCATCTGGGGTTGCACCGAACAGGGTTTGCTTGACCAAGGATACACTAGACTTTTCAACCCCAACCGGCACGCAGCCAAAAGGTCCATGAGAGAGGTACCAATGGCAAACAGAACATGTGAGAAAGGTGCCAATTCAGGTCTTGAAGGACGAACATCAGCAAACCAATTCTATCCCGACATCTGAAATCATCTCAAAATGTCACCACAACTCAACACAAAATGCCGTCTCGTTTTAAACAAAGTCCTGAAGGAAAAATCCGCAAATCGAGGTACTAGCAGTGGCCACTCAGCGGTTGTGGCCGCAGAACCAGCAAGCACCGAACGCGTCAGACGTGTCCCCAAGGGCCATCGAAGCAACTCCCCTGGCCCAGCACTGTTCCTTACACCCTCTGCCTGCACGCCATGAAAGCACCACTCAACGCCATGGCAGTCAGTGGCCATCCATTCTCCGAAAGATCTGTGGCACTGCGTCTGATTCTGATAGGTTGAAATCCAACACACATGGTTTGAGTTGGTGCTTAACAAACAACTCACACAACATGCCATCGAAAGGGCATGGTCATGGTTGACTCCTCATTCCCCTCTTCAGTTTTGGGCCAAGAACCTGACATGCTACCTCTAGTCTAGTATTATAATGTATTGTTGCTCTTTGGCGTTTGAGTAAACTACCTACCTGCCTGCCTGCCTACCTACTTACCTACCATTGTGTCTGAAAACAGAGGAGGCCCCGATTTCCAACCTCTGGAAGATCAGCGACCGGCCACATCTCCGCCTTATCTGTACGTGATTTCTGGATCATGTTGAATAGTTTGTGATTTCTGATTCTGAACGCCTCCATCGGCTCTTGAAAATTCTGCACAGCAGCACGCATGAGCGGTTTCTGACGGAAGTAATACGCGATCTTGGATTTCCAAGTGCATTGAGTTGTGTTGTGGTGTGTGAACTCCAAATTGATCATCCGGAAAAAACACGTTGCAGTAGCTTGAAGTTCCAAATTGGAGTGGAGCCAAGCTTTTGAATGCAACCGAGCATGCTTTGACCGGTGCGCTTCCGGGTCAAAAATCGAAGGGAACGGAGGCCACATTAAACGTGCTCGATACCCAATCCTTTTCGCTCGGTCCCTGCTCTGCCATCAAACTCATCCCGCTCTTAGCCGGTGAGTCTGTGGGTGAGATCCGTACTGAGAACAGCCTCAGTGGTCCCTTTCACCAGGCCATTGGCCTCGCAAAAGGCTTCCCAATAGTGCAAATCCTCAGGTGACGCGTCAAATGGCCCCCCCCCAGGCACACCATGTGTGCCACGCATGATGTTAGAAGGCCGCTGTGCGAATGCTGCAAGTCCCAGGGCTCTAACATCCTCGGTCGACCCCATAGTGCTTCTGAGAAAGTGGGTGCAAGCAACTTTTCACGTTCAGTTGATTTCTTGGAGGGGAAACAATGGAAATAACGTGCGTCAGGGTGTATGGGTTTGGGAAAATGATAGAAAATAGAGGCCCATCAACAATTGACAAGGTTCCCATAATTCAGACTCCGGGATGAACACATGATTATGAACACATATGAACTGCACACCTCGACTCTGCAGCTGTCCAACACGCCAAACGTTTGGCTTCTCAACATGGGGGGGGGACGGGGGAAGTATTCCTTTTGTCCGTTTTCCCTAAAGATACTTGCCCCGTGTTGGCATGATTGAAGGATTTCAAGGGGCAACCATCCTTTCTGCATGGACAGGTGTTGGGGATGCAAAAGCAAAACACCGTAAACAAAAACATATGAATAGCCTACATTCGTCCTGATGACAAGCAACTCGACCATAAGGTTATATATATATACCATTACATGCCAATTCACATTGCTATTGTTGCTTGAGGGTTCATGGTCATGTGGTGGTGCCCTCCTGCCTGCTGAGCCCTCGTCCGACCGTCCAACCATACCATTCGGTGACGCAAAGAGTTGCTCCAAGACACGTTGCCCTTGTAGAAGGCATAAATGAGTTCCAAGCCACTCATGGAAAGCCCAATCAAAATGATCCTAGGCTAACAAGCGAGCCCTGGTTTGCGAGCCCTGCGAAAATCGAATCGAATGGAATGGTACCTTCCTCGCTGTTCAACTGGAGGACAGCAAAACGCAACCAATGAACGTGTATACTGTATATAAATTGAAACCGGCCCATATTAGATATACTATATATATATATGTGTGTGTGTTGTTGTTGCTGCTGTTCTTGTTGTTGTTGCTGCTGCTGCTCCTGGTGTTGTTAGTGCTGATGTTACTTGTTGCTCCGAATGCGAGATGTACTTGGAGGTGTGACATGTGCGAACCCGTGCACCTTTGACAAACAATATAGGATCGAGCATGTCCTGTGGATCAGGGGAGGTTTCATCAAAACAGCACCACGTTCTGGTAGTTATATTCCCCCAAAAAGGCATCCGTACTGAATCCGTACCCAAGCAAGCAAGTGTTTGGAGTATGAGTATGGGTTCTACGGTTATCTAAGCATGTATTCAGGTGTATCATGCAACAGCTTCACTCCGTGAGTGCCAAGTGTTTTTTCTGTTTCTGCAGCTTCCGGCAGCACAAGTTCATGGACTCCTACTGCCAACTGTTGATCGTCCAAAAGCACCCTTTGGGAGGTGTATCACTACTGGACTGCAAACGGTCTGTGTCTGTTTGTTGCGCTGGTGCTGTCTCTGCCAATCACTCGTAGCCACATCAGTTGAGTGGTTCATATACTGTAATAGTAATCCAATTATATCATTCAACATCGTTCAACCAATGAAGAAACAAACTGAAATGTTCCTCTTGACCAACAATATTCTGCCCAGTTGCAAAAGGGCAATCTGCCATGGCCGGCGCTCTGGCAGCATCAGGAGGCCTCACAGCAAAAAATATGCAATTTGTTGAAATAAAAACATTTACCCAACAGGTGCCATCTGTGCAATGATATATATTGTATATGTATATATATATATACGCAAAATGCTGTTCACTCATAAACAGTTCAACATCTAAAGAACATGAAGCATCATAGTGGAACAATGGAACAATCAACTCAAGGCTACTACTTGCATGAGAATCCGATTGGGGTGTGTGTCTCTGGTTGTCTCCCAGCCAGATCGCGAAGGTTCCAGGGCAAAACAATGCTAAAAGGTATGTATATAGATGTTGAATTTGAGCTGCGACTGGGTGGGGGAAGAAACACGGTCACCTAAGGTGTATTTCGCAGTAGTTGGGCTCTGTTGGTTTCTAATCAACTGCTATATGCCCTGGATCTTGAAATCAAAGAGTATGGGTATCAGAGTTGTTTTCTTCGAGCTTCAGAACTGTGTGTGTGTGCTTGTCACATACTCAAACCAGGGTGGTGATGCTGTCATTTTTGGATATGTTGCATCTGCTCACTGCCGGTGTAAAAGCTGTCCTCATGTATTCTGTATTCTCTCTTTTCTTCTTCTTCTTCTTCTTCTTCTTCCTCTTCTCCTTCAGCTCCATGGCACAGGCTCCAGTGCGTCTCAGTGGGTGTCTTCATTTTGAACATTTTGAGACATCTGGTGCTACGAAAAGGGCAGTCTTTGGCCTGTGTCATCTCCATCCATGTCACCCAAAGACCCAGCAGCACCAGAAACTTCGTACAGCGACGGCGAATTGTCCGTCAAACTCGCGCGAAACCTGCCAATCCTACTTCGATGACAGGCTGGGGTCCGGCCTATGCCTCCACAAAGGATCAAGAACTGCTGCCTCCAAACAATAGGGCTGAACCACATCGTGAGGCACATCACCTGACTCTTTTCCGGTGCACCGAGAAGTAAGTAGGTCATGTCTCATGTAGATGGGGTCCAAAATCCATCCCAGCGCACCCAAAGCGTGGCATGCTGCGCCGCTGCTGTGCTTTTTGAATGACAAGAGCCTCACCCATTTATATGAAACCAACTTTTGATGAATTTTGGAGCTACCAACATGGGCCGGTCGGTTCGACAAGGGCATGTGCTTTCTATGACACAGCTTCAGGAAAACCAGCTTGTAGGTTTGTAGGCATGTTCCACGTCAAAGGAACTGAAAGCCTGCTCCAGGCATTTGTCTTCCCCGTCACAATCTTGAAGTTTATGCAAAGCATTACAAAGCCATGGGCTGTCATAACAGCAGCAGCGAGCTCAATGAGTCCTTATTCAAGAGGAACTTTGGACTCACCAAGTCGAAGGTGTAGAGTTAAGTTTAAAGGTTCATTGCTTGGGCGGGGGAATCCGTTCCATCTCCGTTGTGAGCATGACGATCCTGTTGCAGCAAACCCAGCGTAAATATCAAACCCGAGTGCCCTCTTGCTTAACCTAGCCACCTTGCACCACCCTCGAACCCCCATAGGCCCTATGGCCATTTCACACCGGGTGACTGCGATCATGGCGAAGGTGCTCAAGGCATGTTTCCAGTGTCCAGTGAGGCAGCTCAGAAGCATGTTGCCTCATGAGGAGCATGGTGTCAATGAGGGAGAGCAACCGACTGAATGGCCATCAATTTGCAAGGAATCACTTTCTTATACTTTATTAACACCGTGGTTTAGAGACGTTCTGGTGTAAATTATTAATAGTGCTATGAAACATGGAGGAATAGCAAACTTCCAAAATTTGATTATATTCCATCCCAGCGTGACAACCCCTGCCTCACAGCACTTGGACTGTTCCACTTTCAGCCAAAGGGTAGGTTATAAAATCCTTGACCAAAGCTTCAAAAGAGGATCTGATGGATCTGACCTTTGGAACTTGATCATAAAAACCTTTGGCCTCGGCCAATGTTCAGAAACTGCGACGTTCGTGTGGAGGTGACGTTCGGGTGACGCATTCTGGAGGTGGCCATCCTTTCGTCTCTTCGCAGTGTGTGGACATCATCCACATCATCCACACACTGCAGGACTCCTGGACTCATCTCCCTTCCTTCGGACCGTTTTTGCTGTCGAAGAACCGGTGAGGAATCCGATGTTGGCACCCGCGCCAATGATGCCTGCCAGGTTTTTGCACGCAGCGACGACCAGAAAGTCGAGGGGGAGACAAAGCCAACTACCCATCGGGTATTAAGAAACTACCCATCGGGTATTAAGACATATTAAGTCTGAAACCACGTTGATCATATACTGAATTAAGACATGTTAAGACTGTCAGGCCCAAAAAAGAACGTACAGCAAACTTGATGTAACTTGCACATCTTAAACTCTTCGATGCTCCTCACCCTTGCTAAAATCAAGCAAACAATATGATGGACAAGGAAGGTCCTTCCACTGTATTCACACCACCTCTGTGAAGGTTTCACCTGCTGAATGTACGAGTGTCACTTCTCGCAGTGTTTGCCCAGCGGGTGCATGCTCTGTGGGCACTGAGGTGATTTGCTGGTTCATGAAATCAGGGAGAGGATGCATGTTTGAACCGATCTCAGAGTAGACCGACCGATAGCACAAACCATCACAAACCCAAGGTGGTGTACACATCGGTCCCCATCGAACATATTCAAGCATAGCAGCATAGCCTAAGCCTATATAAGTCTAGGGCTTTGCGGCATCCGCCGTCCACTTGTTAGGAGATCGCGCCAAAAAACGCGAAGAATTCGACTCGCGACCGCCTGTGCATCCGGCCGACGAGAGGTGTGACAGGATTGCACCGGCCAGCGAGGCAAAAAGGATCAGACCTGGCGAAGGAGCAAAGGATCAGACCTTCTGCAGCGACGGTTCGCACAGGTTGCTGAGCAGGTTCGGAGGGGAACCCCCCCCCAGCCGGCAAGTGGAAGTTAAGGAAAAATCAAAGGAAACCAAAATGGGAAAAAGAACGGGAGTGGGGTGGGGGTGAAACTGTTTCACTTAATTCTTCCTTCCGGCCCAAATGGAGTCGGATGGAGTGGGTTTTTGCATGTTGATGATGAGAAGAGACAGTGCACCTCCCGAAACTATCATGCTCCTCTATGTCACTATGATCAAATCCCTGGCCTGCAGGCCAATGGCTTCATTTTCAATCAATAATTATATATATGCATATTTCTGGGAGGGTGCTCATATCAGTACGATTGCACAAATGCATTAGACTTCAAAAGAAGTATATGTGTATATGTATATACACATACACAACACACATATATATATATATATATTTAATAACACATACCGCTTGAAATTGAAGCAAATCAAAGTCCACTGAACATGCTTAGAATGTGAAACAGAACCATGTTGCATGTATGTGCACGCATGTGCATGCCACATGTTTCCTTCCCTTGGCAATACCACAACATCATATGACATCAGCATACTCGACAAAGTTCCGCAGTCCGTGTTCAGCCGCGGACTTTGGGGACCGGTCGGGAACCGCCCTTCGCAGCCCGCGAACCCGGACTTTGGGCATCCGGACTCCGCGGTACTCCGGGACTCTCCCATGACCATTGAAGCAACCCAAAAGTTATCCCTGGGAAGCACTTGTGGACGATTTCCATCTGCCCTCACACACGTCTCGTGACGTTTTGGACCAACCACCATCACTGGGCCTCTGCTCATGCATTGGGCCTCAGTTCGGTGGTTTGGTGCAAGTTTGTGGCACGCATATCACAGCCAAGATGCATACATTCACATTTCACATCTAGATTTTACATCTAGATTCAAAATCCCAGTTGGATCATTTTGGACAAAACTCGATATAAACCACTTGGAAATTGAACCACTAAATGTGGAAGACCACTGCCTGAAAATCAACGAATTAATAAAACACACCGCTCCACATGCAAAATCGGCATCGTTGTGGTTTGGTCAGTCTGGAGCCATCACCCCCGGAATCTATCAACACTACAAATGTGGAAATGTCCGTGTAACCAGCAAAAAGTAATAAGGAAGCAACATGAAACAACATCTCAAAAAAATAGAACTATATAAACAAAAACGTCGGATTCCCAACCAAACCCAAAAACAGCGTGCGAAGAAGTCCAAAGGGCGGTGGGGGTGACAAAGAAGTTGCCGTGTAGCATGCCCAGCAGGTTCACCTGCAACTGTCGCCGTCAAGCATGTTCTTTTTCTCCGGCCATATAGACAAGTATATATATATATATATTATATGTATATATATGTACACAAATATACACATATGTCGTCTATTGTATGTGTAGATGCCAATACACATATATGTTCATTGCTTTTCCACCTTGCTTGACTCTCCCAACCTTTGGGAGCACCGTAATTAGGCGTCGATAAAGATCGAATCATAAGCATAAGCAAGTCGCACCGGTCAGAAGCACCGGTCGCATAAAAAAAGAAACACCATTCCATGGCAAGGGGCAAGATTGAACCCACATTATTTGAACACGGTTGACAAACCAGCCCGAAGATGTGCACCCGGATTTCAGGAACCTTGTGCATGTGCTCTCCTCAATCCCAATAAATTCGTCGGCAGCTCTGGAACGCTGGCCACGATTCGCTAGGGTCGCAACTCTCAAAGGGCCTGGTGAACCCTCCGCTGACCCGGCCCTTGCACACTCTGCTCGAAGAAAACGAGGGAAGACTGGGCTTCTGAAACAATACCACACTCGCATTCATGCAAGCATGCAAGACATTGCAAAACTGATTTAAAAAAAAGGATCAATAATTGAAACGAGTATATATATATATACACTGTATATATATAAGTATATCTATACACACCCACACATCACACATAAGAAAAAATCATGTCGCCAAGCCAGGATTTACTCAGGAAAGCTTCTTCCATGAAAAGCTCCCAAACCCTATGAACCTTGCTTGCATTGGTTGGATCACTTGCACAAGGTGTTTATAGAGATTTGTAGAGCAACCTGCCGACCTAATAATTGTACATTTGAACCCGCCCATGATAAACAAACATTGGCCGGGCCGCTCAAAGTTGTGCAAACCCACCTTCTATCACTACTATAAAAGCAAAAAATCAAGTCGGACTGGTGGCTGAAACTTCTTTGCAAGGAGGTAAGCAAGTTACTAAGCCTTGCTCGTGCCATGTCTTTCCATGGATTTGAAGCTTTTCCAAGACATTTGGTTCGGTCATAGAAACATCACAGTGTCTACATGTAAAGCTATCAATATGTATATATTCAATTGTATTCATCACTAGACTCAGCAGCATCTTGCCAACATCTGAATCTGGCTATGTCCCTAGCTTCCAAATCTGTCCACCGAGTCCCGGTTTTCCGGGCCACTGTGGTCTGACCGCACCGAACTGCGAGCACGCGAGACGCAAAACATGCGCGCCTTGATGATGAAGAAACCCAGCAAGACCAGACCCATGCCGGAGAGCGCAGCGAGACTGAGCCTGAGGAGATTCAACAGGGGTAGGCGATGGTCGCGAGAAGCCGCAAAAATGTAGCCATTTCCCTGAGAAAAGAATACGGCAGCTTCACTCCTACAGCTCATGGTCTCGAATAGGACAATCATCAAAGCTTAGGGTGCTCGAGGTGAGACCTATTCCTATGTGTGGCATGTTAATAGGGACACCCCCCCAACCAATGGGTTTGGTCTACGTATTTAATTCTGTCTATTTATATACAAACCCATATCTTGAAACATGAACTCAGCCAGCAGAAAGGGAGGGGCGCGGCGCTTCCGCCACTCGATGTCGACCGCACTCGGATCAGAAATCTGCCTCTCGTTTGGCAAGCCCTATGGCCAATCCTTGAATTGTGCAACTGATCCACGTCTCCCTTGCATTCTGCGTGAGGCCTTGACGTGGTTGGTTGGCCTGGCTGTGGCTGTGTCTGTGTCGTGGCACTGGATGCACCTATGATGCCACCCAATACGATGCGTTACTTACCAGCCTACCAAAAAATATATGAATCAGCATAGACAGCCACACTCAAGGTCTGTTGGCATCCAACTCCACAGCCGTGCCCCGAATCAAATTCTGTGACACTTATCGAGCTGGATGTGCTGCAAGGATCTGGCCGGAGAGGAGGGGATGGAGCATCTGGCGCACAGAAACCAACAGAAACGGGGGGGCCGAACTTCCTCACCAAGCATGCCGACACGAGGTTGAGGAGGCGCCACAAGCGGTGAACTGCAGCGCAATATTGAATGATAAAATCATGGTGTCCACCTCGTAGTTTGATCGGCAGCTAGCGATGAGCACGCGCTTCTCTGATGACAAATGAGATCAGCACTGCTGTGTGCATGGCTGGAGTTGAACCTCGAATCCAGAATGCGACACGTTGTGTCATTTTGTGAGGCACTGCAACATCAAAGGTTTGTTGAGGAACCCAGTGTTCTTCGGAAACAAACTTGACTTGGCGCTCGGATGAAGAATTTGCCAGTCCCCCCTCGCGCTGATTGGATTCACCTTGGCGCCCTGTAGAGTTCCAGGCACTCACGGAATGCCCATCCTTCTTCGTGCGTCGAAAAATGGGCCACAGGCCCGCACACCCACACACATTTAGAAGAGACCTCGCAAGAGCTCCGTTGTCGTGCGCACTTTACGATGTGCATTAGACGACCTTTCCAAAAAGGAGAACGGGAAAATGGCCCGGAAAACGGAACGGCGAACAGTCTGAAAGCAACATCATCGAGTGAAACAGGTGACTTGGCGTCCATGAAGCGGATATATATAACTGCCAGAGCTTCGTTGGGCAACGGAAGAACGGTCGCACCATCCTACATGGCTCGGTGCTTCGGTACAAATGGTGTCCCCTGCAGTGCACAGGGCTTGACACACACACAAACGATGTCCAGGTGTGAGATAGACTTGATGCAAACCATGCATCATAATACATACCTATGGCGTTCTCTGTGCTGTATCGGGGTGACACAATATCAGTTTTGGGAACCAGCTCCATGCCCGGTGGTCAAGTAGCTGGATCACGTCCCCGTACCGCCGACGCTCCGTTGAATCCGCCGGTGTCCTCCCGTCCTCCCAGCACCAAGACGCTTCCGGTAGCTCCGTGTCCGAAGGTATTCCAGGGCAGCGTTCATCAGCGCAAAGCAAAAGCACGCTGTGGCCTGAGGCCACAAGAAGCTGCGTTTGGGAGGTCTGTCTATTGACGGGCAATGGGGAGGTTGAAAGTTCTTGGAGATGTAAACCGGTCACTCGGCCAGAACAGAACCTCTTGTGCAGGCACAAAAAAACATTAAAAAACACCCATGTCGTTGGTTTGGCCGCTTTTGCTCACGCTGCGCGTAGCTCAATGGTTCTCAACGCCCCAGGTCTTTATATTAGGGTATAAAACGAGCAGCCAGGTGGCTGAAGTGGAGACATCAAGGTCGCTCTAGGTCAACTTCCTTCTCAAATCTCTCAGGACACCAACAAAGCTGGAGGACCAAACATTGACCAAGTAGGGGGGAAGGATTAGTAAGGATCGTCCCTTTTCAGCGGCCACAAGCCTAAAATGACCTCAATGACCTCCACACACCGAATGCAACAGGTCGAATCGCGAATCCTCCTTGGAGATCCGCTGAAACATCCAAACTGCCGCCAACGGGCCTAAACGTTCGCACAATCACCCGCTCTAACGTTGTGGGCGAAGTTGCACGAGGTTCGTGGGCTCTTTCGGCATTAAAAACAAATAACATAGCCTTAGCTGTAGAATTGAAAGGGTTGTGGATCAAAACCTCCAATCGTCCTGCTCCACTATGAACAGTTGTTTACATGTTCAAAGAACTCATCCCAGAAAGGGTGTGCACAACCAATCGCCACAGCGTAATTAAGTCCGTATGGGACCTTGTCTGTGCTCCAATTTCTTCGTATATAACCAATGTTCCCGTGTTTGACCTTGGCCAATTTTATGAAACATTCTTAATCAGCGGAGATATGAATGAACTCTTTCAGAGGAAAACGGCGAGGCGTGGCATGCGAGCCACACCGTCTTCCAGCCGAGACAGGTTAGTCCACCTATTATGTTTATCCAGGATTTATATATCCTCTCTTGCAAGGACGCCTTTATCATACAATCTGTGAGCGTCGGTCAATTTTGGAGGCGGAAGGACATCAGCGGACATCACTGATAAAAGACATCATTGGATCCCTCCCTGGCCGGACCATTCTTGTAAGCATAGAGGGCCAGGGAAAACGAGAGCTGCGGAGAGTCTGACCCACTCCTAACTACCAATGTGGATGACATCACTAGTGTGAACTGTCCCACATCGAAATTAACCATGCAAAGCCTCAGCAAAAAGCTGATCCAGCTGTGACTAGATTGGTTCTTACTGAATGGGGGCACCTCAAAAGTTGAATAATATATGATATAAGTATTTAATAAATACTTATGTGAAAATCACACGTGAACGCCATCCATCTCAGAGGACAGGTGGATCGATCGTTCGGCTGACATATCAGGGACTCTCGGCTGAAGCCTAGGAAAAGACGCCCTTTCGTGCCGATAGGAGTCGGCTTTCAATGTTTCGACATTGGTAGCGGAGCCTAGGTTTATCCTAGGCTCCCGCTGAGTAGGGTCTCAGCGCGACACGTGAACGCCATGGCGGCATCGTTGGAAGGCAGTGGAAGCCTCCGTTCGTTCTCAGGTGACACCGAGGACGCCAAAGAGTACCGTAGATGGAAAGTGTGGGTGTTGAACAAGTTGCTCACCTTGGAAGACAAGGTGCAACCCAAGGCCCGTGGGGCCTACATATACACTCTGTTGTCAGGCAAGGCATTGGAGTGTGTGGAACACCTGGATCCTTCCTCGTACCAGAAAGAGGGAGGAGAAAAAGTGCTGCTCGACCGCTTGGATAAGCGGTTTCCTCAAAAGGACACCAGCGATGAGATGAGCGAGACCCTCACCGAGATCTTCAACCTGAAGGCTGCTGACGGAGAGAGCTTGAAGACCTGGATTTCGCGGGCTTCGGAATTGTTTGAAAAGTGTGAAAGGAAAGTCAATGTGACATTTCCTGAAGAAGCTCGCGGCTGGTTGATTTTGAATAGATCTGGCTTGACGGATGAGCAGAAAGCAGTTGTCCTTGCTCGCAGCCTTGGAGTGTTGAAGCGGGAAGAGATCGGACGTGCCATGCGTTCCTGCTACCCGGATTTCGTGGTCAAAAAGAAGAACTTCGGCGCAGGTATGGTTGAAGGGGACTTCGGACACACTGCAACCGAAGGTCCTGAGCACGACGATGACCCCGATCTGTCCAAGGAGGTTGAATCCTTCCTCGCTGAACACGATGTCTCTGCTGGAGATGTTGAAGAGGATGAAATTTATGATGAACGTGAAGTGGCCGAAGCCTTGGCCATCTCCTGGAAGGACCGACGCAAAGAGCTCAACAAGTTGCAAAGGACCCGCAAGTTCGCAGCGGCCTCAGACTTGAAACGAAGCTATCGCGTCGAGATCGCAGAGTTGAAACGCCGAACAAAGTGTCATCGCTGTGGAGCAGTTGGCCATTGGTCGAAGGAGTGCACTCAGCCCAAAGCAGCAAGTTCTTCTCAAGGTCACCCTCACAGTTCTGCCAAGCGTGAAGCCGGAGCAGCCTTGGTGACCGAAGCCTCTGACCTCAAGTCTGAGGGTTATGCAATGTGGGACAACGAAGACTTTGTGGCTATGGCAGCGGTTGTTCCGCCTCCCATGTCGACTCTGGACATGTTGCGACAGCGACATTCTGATCGTCTGGAGTCCTCCACCGTGCTTCCCGAAGTACTGCTCGTGAGCTCACCGGGATATGGTATCCTGGACTCTGGATGCGGACGCTCCATCATCGGACGTCAGACGTTGCAGGAGTTTCAACGTCTATGGAAAGCAGCCAACATCGCAGAGCCTCCCGAGCTGCACGAGGTGAACCACTTCAGGTTCGGCAATGGAGAGAAAGAGACAACCCACACCGTGATCCGCCTACCAGTTTTCTTGGGTGGCAAGAAGGGGACCATCAGGACAGCCATTGTGAGGGGACATGCCCCGTTCCTGATCTCTAGGAACGCGCTGCAAACCCTCAAGGCTGTCATCGACTTTGGACAACAACAGTTGACATTGTTTGATGAGAAAGTCGTGGTGCCTTTGTCCACCAATGAGGCTGGTCAGTTTGCCGTGAACGTGATTGGCGAGACAGTCACCCCTGACTTTGAACAAGAGGTCATGTGCACTCATCCCGAACCGTCCACGGTGACAGCAGAGTTCGTGCCACCAGCTCGTGATGACCCAGAGCCCAGTGACTCCGCTTCGCTTCAGTCATGGTTTAGGGATGATTCGTTTTT